TTTCGTCACTTCAGACTTCTTCATAAGGGGTCAAAAGATTATCTTTTAGCGAGATAAAGATTGTTATGTTTTAGCGAGATAGTGGAGAATTACAATTTCGAGGGTGAAAGAATGCTTGAAGCAAACGTAGCAGGATCGGATGCTAAGCAACAGATCATCTTTGTAGCTCTTGGGCTTGCATTGGATCCCAGATGGCGCTGTCAGCCAGCCACTCCAGCACCAAACACCACAAGTGCCCACAGCAGCTGGTAAAATGGAACTATAGGCAAAACTTTTATCATTTTGGATAGAACAATTGTTGAGATTTTCCTTCACTTTCTGTCCCATAGCCAAACAGGAAGTGAGAGGAAATCCCTGCAAATTCTCAGGGCACCAGAACTAGTGTTCCCATTGGATGATACCCCAACTATTACTTTACTGGGGACAACCCACAATTTGGGGTTTTCTTTTACTTTCACTTTCAATGATAATGGTAAATAGGACAAATAGAGAGGGTGAATCTCCCCAATGGGGGGCACAGACAGCAATAAAAACCTGACAGGGGTCCTCATCCCTCTCCACTTCATTCAAAACTAAGAAAAATAGGTTTTGCTTTTAGTTATACTTTAAAAATTGGCATCATTGTAAGACGTCCTTGGGACTTACAAGTACTTTTGTATACTCTCCTTAATGGCAAGTAGTTAAGTAAGCCCAACCCCAACTGAGAAAGTGTTTCTGCTGCTGGAAAGTGAGTGAAACAAGCAATTCATGGATCAGGTCCATTCACTCACCAACCTTTCTTTGCATCTAATCCCAGTCTGGGAACTTGAACAGCTGCCAGGAAGCAGAGACACATCATTATTGCTGGCGCTTTGATGTTATCATTCGGAGAGGTAATCAATGTTCTCTGCAGGACTGAACTTTATAGTTTTAGAACATCATCTGCCGTAGCTTTTGAGACTCAAACAGGTTTTGTTCAAAGACTACATAAAGATTGGTCTACAGCATGTAATTCTTGTCTTTATGTGTATGTCTTTATTTTTATATAGACATGATTAACTCCGGTCCAATAATAATGAGGACCCCCAAAAAAAATATGTTTTTATTTTTCCCTTCTCTTTTAATAGAAAGACGACCAGTATACCATGAAACACTTTGCATCTGTGCCCATCCCCATTTATCACAGCAACAGTGAATGATAGCCCAGCTAAAACAGAGCAAATTAGAAAAAGGTCTTTTTGTATCATGGAACATTCGCTTTTTCCAGCTGGTTTAGATACACTGATCAACCATAACATTATGACCACTGACTGGTAAAATGAATAAGATTGATATTCTTGTTACTATCACATCTATAAGTAGGTGGGATATATTAGGCAGCAATTAAACATGTTGTCTCTGAAGTTGATGTGTTTAAAGCAGAAAAAATGAGTGTAAGGCTAGGTCAGAGTCTGTCAAACAACAAAAGAGAAAAATTCCCAGCTCAACTTGCTAGCTAGCTTGCAAACAACCCAAATAAACCTGTCTAACAGTATGCATTAAAAACAGGGGTTTGGTTAGCATACAATTGCAAATACATATGCAAGCTACAGAGCCTCATCATGGAACCCCGGTATTCTGTAGTCCTAACTCTACAAATTTTGAGAGCCCCCATAGTAGAGGCACATGTATTTAATGGATAGACCAAGGGCAAGGCGAACCTGAGGGAGCCCACCCCTCCTTAAAGGTACAGGAGGGCACCGGACAGGTCAGAGCATCTTCAAAACTGCAGTTCTTGTGGGATGTTCCCAGTCTGCAGTGGTCAGAACTACCAAAAGTCGTCTAAGGAAGAAAATCTGGCAAACTGGCAACAGGGTCCAGAAGCAGCAAGTGCTCATGTGGGGAGCTAAGGCTGGCTCATGTAGTCCAATCCAATGGAAAAGCTACTGTAGCTCAAATTGCTGAAAAAAATAATCAGAATGTCAGAAGACACAGCGCATCGAAGTTTGTTCTGTAGCTACAGACCTGTCAGGGTGCCCACAGCCAAAAGTGCCTACAATGGGCATGTGAGCACAAGAACTGGACCACAGAGCAATGGAAGAAGGTGGCCTGGTCTGATGAATTCAAGAATGATTTGAGTGTTGACTTGGCCTCCAAATTCTTCAGATCTCAATTCAATCGACCATCTGTGGGATGTGCTGGAAAAGCAAGTCTGATCCATGGAGGCACCATCTTGCAACTCATAGGACTTAAAGGAACTGCTACTGAGTGCCAGACAGTGTTAATTTTGACTCAGGTTTAGTCATCGTCTTGACTAAAATGCCATTTTATGTTTCATTGTATTTGAGTCATCTGAATAGTTTTAGTCATATTTGAGTCATCTGAATTGTTTTAGTTTTCGTCGACATTTTAGTTGACTACAGTCTAATAGGTTTAGTTAAATTGGAATACATTATATATGCATTTCTGTAGAATTTCCAAACTCATTTTATACTCCGGGAGTAAAAATCTAATAACATGTTATTATTTATGGTATTAAAGTTTAAAATGCACTACAGACACAGATTTTGCCTTTGTAATATATAACTTCTTCATATATAAAAGCACATTTCATAAACAAAAATATTGCTTTTTGATAAACAGAAATGCAACTTTAAAATATAAAAAAAACCTGACATTAAATATTAAGAAAAGCCTTTTTCTTATTCTGTTTAGTTTAGATTAGTAGATGCCCCCTACTGATTCTTATGTGGTAGTGCAGTGTTAATTTTGGCGTCAAATTTCGATTTAATTTTAGTCATAGTCTAGTCTTTTGCCTAAAATGCCATTTTAGTTCGTCGTATTTTAGCCAGCTGAACTGTTTTAGCCAACTAAAATAGTGTTAATTTCATAGACGAAAATATTTTAATCAACTAAATTAACACGGGTGCCAGATACCACAGCATACCTTCAGAGGTCTACTGGAGTCCATGCCTCCATGGGTTTTGGTGGATGGTCATAATGTTATGGTTGATTGGTGTATATTTTGCTTTGACACACAGAAGCTAAGATCAGCAGTTTCAAGTGGTATTAAACCCAAAAGCAAATATTTATTTTATTGCAGCTTACCAATTTCTTATATGTGATGGCTGCATTAGTTTTCTTTTTTCGGCTTTCTTTTTTTCTGTTTTTGCCTGGTGATCTGGTCAGTAAGTCTGCTGTTTTTCAAAAGCACAAGCTGTCTTGCAGATATATCCGTTACAGAGATGAGACAAATCATTCAGCACTGCCAAGGGTGCTTACAGTGATGTTTTACTTGTGTAAAACCTTTAATCCTAAAGGAGAAAAACTGTTTGCTGTAACTGCTTATAAAGTGTTAGCTGGAGTCTGGCTTCAATGTGCTAGTGTATCTAAATCTGCTAGTACATTTAACGCTCCCCCCCCCAGACTGACAATGATGCTGAACAAAGGTTCCCCTGTGCTCCTTCTTCCAGAGTGGGGCCACTCTAATACTGGAGGCGTGTTACTGTCCAGATCACCAGGTAAAAACTGAGGGGAAAAAAGACTAAAAAAAAAAGCAAACAGATGCAGCCACCACATCTAAAGATTGATAAGCTGCAATATATTACATTTCTAGTTTTGGGTATCATATTGCTTTAAGCTGAACTCCAGCAAACAGCTAAATACACATGTGACTGCCAAATCATTTGTATTCCTGTCTATCCATTCCTGATGTTTACACAGCTCTGTCACAAAGCAGAGGCCTGTCTGGCTGGGGAAGGTGGACCTGACCATTCTCTGCTGCAGTTTCACTTTCATTTATAGGTTTCCTTCCAACCCTCGCCCTATGACTAGACAGCTCTTTGGCACTCTGCTTTCTCCTCCTGTTTGCATGCGCCTTTCACTTTAGCACACCTGCTTGTCTCCTTGAGCTGCTTCTGCAGTCCACTTTCCCAGCACTGCTGTACAGGGACTTCAAGAGGTTGATACCAAGGGAAATGAAGGTTCTTACACTGCTTGCATTTAAAACATACATGTGATGATGCATTACAATTAAAACCCTGCATTCATTTGTGCTTTTTATATCTGCCTAGAGTTTAGCATTAGATAAAGTGTACAATAATGACACATATACTGTATGTGCCAAATATTCCAAAGGATTTGTAATTCTGTTCAGCTAGACCGATGGGGGTAGACTTGAGGGGTATGCAGGGCTGAGTCAAGGTTTTTTACTTGCCAATGTCCAATCACCTAGAGGTGGAATGTAACCCAATAGTCTACAATTAAAATGTTACTAAACCCCGGACCCTGCATTCACTATATCTGGTCTCCCACAGTACACACAACATGGAAGTGCAATTATTTTAGTAAATATAAACTGCTAAATACCTTTTCTCATCAGCAGTTAGAGCAGTCTTGTGACTTCAGCAGAGCACTGGTTGAAGCTTGTAGGAGGAGTTTTCTTTTTGCTCTAGGAGGATGCAGAACCCCTGACCTCTGTCTGGACAGTACTGATTGGCCCTGTGTTGATCACATGCACTTTCCCAAGAAAAAAGAAAACCCTCTCGAGCAATACACACCAAACTGAGCATGTACATGTGGCTACGGGCTCAGTTTGTCTTATTAGGAGATAAGATGTGGACATTTGAACAAGAGGAGGATCAGAGAAAACAGGATCAAACGGCCTTTTTACACAAGGCAGAGGAATAACCCCTTAGGTTCCACAGTGAGTATAACAAGCATGCTTTACTGCATATACAGACTGATTTTATTGTTGTGGGTTTAGTAACACTTTAAGTATTTCTTGTGTCCTGTGATGTATACCAAGAAATAGATTTTACAAGTACTGTAAGTCAAACATCCCATTTTTAGTGGCGTGAGGTAGGATTAGAATGTTTGTTGGTGTTTTTTATTGTCTTCTGTCACAGGGACAGGAAGCAAAGAAATGTCCAGTCAATGTGGTCACAGACAAATATAAAAAATTTATTTTTCTTTTCCAAACACTATACAAAAGTAACAAAAATTGTCTGAAGTTAACCTTTAAACTTTTATGTGGCTTCTAGGATTGAGAAGCTGGTGGATGGGGCCCGGGACCCCAGTGAGTTTCTGGAATGGCAGCGACAAATGCGGGAGAAGGACCTGGAACATCAGCTGGCTGAGATTGAGTGCCGGCGGCTGGAAGGGAAGCTGAGCCGAGAGGAAGCTGTTCTAGCCCGGCAGAACCTCATCCAGGAGAACAAGAAGAAGGCCGTGATGAAGAAAGAGGAGGTGACACCTGTACTTTGTATTACAGCTGAGCTCTGGCGACATGTCAGAACTATAGAGGAAAGATGGATCTTTGGCGACATGTCAGAACTATAGAGGAAAGATGGATCTTTGGTGACATGTCAGAACTACCCTTGCAATAAGTCTCCCCAGACTACAAGGGTTAGGATGCTCATTTTTGCCTGTGGTACTATTATAAAGCATTTTTGCTTCCCCTAGCCCTTGATTGTGCAGGCTTCCTCCATGTGTGGCCAGTCCCCAGAATCACTTCTTTTTGATGTTCTATCTGTTGGTCACAATCTAATGCAGTTTTTATCAACCCTTTTTACCATAGGGGGACCCTTGAAATAATTGTCTGGGCTCAGGGAACCCTTACTAATAATTCATATATCTACAGCTAACAGCATATTAGTGTGATGGTCAGCGGGAAGAGTAAGAAAACCAAATTCCCCCTCTGTACACTCAGGTGTACCCAGCCCAAATTATTCCTCCAACGCCAATAGTAATCAAGATGCAGCCAGGATCTGTGCAGCTCTCCCTGTTGCTCCATGCACACTAGCGTTTTTTTAAGCTCCTAGAACAAGTATGTCCAAAGTCCGGCCCGTGGGCCAATTGCGACCCGTGTTCCGGTTTAATACGGCCCCACAGGTAATTTTGGCAATATCTAAAAAGGAGAAAAGTGGTACATTTATTGAGGAACATAATGAGAAACACATGATGAAAGAAAACGAAAGGCTTAGGCATATGTGGTGAAAGCGAAGGACATGGCGGCGTCCTCGATGTACACATAGTTACATAGTTAGTCTGGCTGAAAAAAGACAAAAGTCCATCCAGTTCAACCATAGAAAAAAAAAAAAAAGTTATAATCCTATACCCACAATTGATCCAGAGGAAGGCGAAAAAAAAACAGCAAAGCATGATCCAATTTTCTCCTGCTGGGAAAAAAATTCCTTCCTGATCCCCCGAAAGGCAATCGGATATTCCCTGGATCAACTTTAAATATAAACGCCGTATACAGTTGCAAGAAAAAGTATGTGAACCCCTTGGGATTACGTGGAGTTTTGCATGAATTGGGCATAAAATGTGCTCTGAACGTCATCTAAGTCACAACAATAGAAGAACACAGTCTGCTGAACATAATACTGCACAAACATTAGATGTTGCCATGGTTTAATTGCACATAACATGTAAACATTCACAGTGCAGGGAGGAAAAAGTATGTGAACCTTTGGACTTAATAACTGGTTGACCCTCCTTTGGCAGCAATAACCTCAACCAAACGTTTCCTGTAGTTGCAGATCAGACCTGCACAACGATCTGGAGTAATTTTGGACCACTCCTCTTCACAAAACTGTTTCAGTGTAGCAATATTCTTGGGATGTCTGGTGTGAATCGCTCTCTTAAGGTCATGCCACAGCATTTCAATGGGGTTGAGGTCAGGACTCTGACTGGGCCACTCCAGAAGGCGTATTCTGTGCTGTTGCAGCCATTGTTTTGTTGAATTACTTGTATGCTTTGGGTCATTGTCCTGTTGCATCCCCCATCCTCTGCGGAGCTTCAGTTGGCAGACAGATGGTCGTACGTTTTCCTGCAAAATGTCTTGATAAACTCTGGAATTCATTTTCCCATCAATGACAACAATCCGTCCAGGCCCTGAGGCAGCAAAGCAGCCCCAAACTATGATGCTCCCTCCGCCATGTTTCACAGTGGGGATGAGGTTTTGATGTTGGTGTGCTGCGCCTTTTTTTCTCCACACATAGTGTGTGTTCTTCCCAAACAACTCAATCTTGGTTTCATCTGTCCACAGTATATTTTGCCAGTAGTGCTGTGGAACATCCAGGTGCTCTTTTGCAAACTTCAAACGTGCTGCAATATTCTTTTTGGACAGCAATGGCTTCCTCCGTGGTGTCCTCCCATGTACTCCATTCTTGTTTAACGTTTTCCTTATTGTAGATGTGTCAACAAAAATGTTAGCATGTGCCAGAGATTTCTGTAGGTCTTTAGCTGACACTCTGGGATTCTTCTTTACCTCATGCAGCATTCTGTGCTGTGCTCTTGCAGTCATTTTTACAGGACGACCGCGCCTAGGGAGAGTAGCAACAGTGCTAAACTTTCTCCATTTGTAGACAGTCTGTCTTACCGTGGACACATGAACATCAAGGCTTTTGGAGATACTTTTGTAACCCTTTCCAGCTTCATGCAAGTCAACAATTCTTGATGGTAGGTCTTCTGAGAGCTCTTTTCTGCGAGGCATGGTCCACATCAGACAGTGCTTCTTGAAACCAGTAAACCCAAAACAGGTGTGTGTGTTTTTTAAGGGCAGGACAGCTGTCAGCAACACATCCAATATCATCACACTGATTGGAGTCAAGGTTTGCTCACTCCTGGCTCCAATTAGCTCTGGGAGAAGTCATTAAGCTAGGGCCTCACATACTTTTTCCTCCCTGCACTGTGAATGTTTACATGCTATGTGCAATTAAACCATGGCAACATCTAATGTTTGTGTAGTATTATGTTCAGCAGACTGTGTTCTTCTATTGTTGTGACTTAGATGATGTTCAGAGCACATTTTATGCCCAATTCATGCAAAACTCCACGTAATCCCAAGGGGTTCACATACTTTTTCTTGCAACTGTATATATACATCGTACTAAGCGCTGGAGGAGACTCGAGATGTTCACAGGGAGCCGGCTGGCATGTGTGGGATTCAAAGATGGCGTCTGGAGTCCACCCTGGAGCGTAGCATCGACGTCAGCGTGATGACGTAGGGATGTCCAGCATGCAATGCGACGCATTTCAGATCATGCATGAGGCCAATGAAAGGCAAAGGTGCACTCCCTTCTCAAGTGTTGAAGGAAATCAGTGAGAGTAATTTTGCTTTTTTTATTTTTAGGGGGAGAAACAAGTACAGATTTCAAATATGTCCTGACCAGTATCAGTCGCTCCTATATCCATTCATTTTTTTGGTCGGCCTTCATGCATGTTCACATACATCAAATCTGGCCCTCTTTGAAAAAAGTTTGGACACCCCTGTCCTAGAAGCTATTATGAACATGTTTTTTCTGCTCCTGGAAGCCAATAGTGTTATCCTATGTGTCCATACCCATTATTTTATGCTAGACCCTTTTTTCAAGCTTCAGTGTTTAGGAGCAGAAAAAAAAATTGTTTTTGTAGAGCTTTTGGGAGCTCCTAAATTGCTTTTTTTTGTAGCATTTTTTTTCTTCATGTACTGTAAAAACGCTAATAAAATGCTACTACAAGCCAGCTCAAAAAACGCTATTATCAGAGTTTTTCATCCAGCATTTTTTGAGCTTATAAAAAGCGCTAATGTGCACGGAGCCTTATCTGACCAAAGTCTTGAAAACAGTCTGTGCAACAAAAGCAACAAAAAGAAAGCACAACCTAGCGCAGTAAATATTTAATACAAATACATTAAAACAATAAGTCCTCATGCAAACTGGACGTTTTTGCAGCGGCTGTTTTTGGCTTTTGACATTTTTTTCTACAGCTAGTAAACTCCCCAGCATGTTATCCTAGGTGTCCACGTACATATAGACTGTAATGAACGTTTTTTGGCTGGAAAAAAAAACCCAGGACTAGCTGTAAAAACACTCTAACACTGAAAACGCGGTAAAATGCTGCAAACTGGCGTTTTTGGATGTTTTTTTTGACCCAAAAAATATTTTTTAGGTAAAAAAAAAAACGCTAAAAACTGCAAACAAGGAAAAACGCAGAAAAACGTCGCTAATCTCAGCAAAAACACCGCTAAACGCTAATGCAAAAATTCTATAAAAAAGCTGAAAAACTCCTGTTTTTAACGTGACTTTACACAGCGAACGTTACCAGCGTTATCAAAACGTCCCGTGTGCGTGAGAGCTAAGAGAGACAATAGTTATTACTGCATATACTGTATGTTGGAACCAACTGCAATTTCATTGTTTTAATCTATTTTATTGCACAATTACTAGATTGCGCTTCTCTTTTTTGTTGCTTTCAGTGGGAAGACTGATCCTAACATTTGTGATCATTGGAAAGAAACCCTTTATAGATAGCTAAAACTATCATTGTTGCCAGTGGCAGGGGCGGACTGACCATTTAGAAACTCGGGCACTGCCCGAGGGCCCGGGGTCAGTAGGGGGCCCCATGAGATGCCCCTGGTACCTTTTTCATGGGCTTTTTTGAGTTTGGGAAAGGACGCAGGGGCCCCATGATCCCCTATTGCCCGGGGGCCCCTTGAGTTGTCAGTCCGCCCCTGGCCAGTGGTTACTTATCTGAGAGGCAGGCATTTCTCATTGATCAAGGAACCTCTAGCAATCCATGGAGGGAGCCTAGGGCTTCATGGAACTCTAGTTGAGAAAGGCTGTTCTAATGACATCACATACAATATTGGACCAGCAATCCTGCATTATGAGTGAGGATGTTGAGGGCCTGTCCCCCATCCATGAGTTTTGGAGGAAAGAGTAGAGTGACAGGAAAAAGTAGGGAATCAGGGATGAGGTAGGTAAAGCTGTTTTTTGACTGGTACCCTAGGCAAAAATGATTTTTTAACATTTGCAGCTCCAGTAGTTTTGGCATTTCTCCGGAGCGCAGCTTTATAGCATGATGTAAAGCAAGTTGCCACTGCTGCAAAGTCATGTAATTAATCAGAACTTTTGTATAGCTGTTGGGTATATAGGATTCAGTTATCTGTATTCTTTTGCCTATCTCTATGTGTGGCATTAATCATCACAAATCCCATTCTAGTTCTTAAGACAAACAGCCTCATCCCATCTGTGACAACGATAAATAATCACAAATAATAGTCACGCAGCGATCGTAAACTACATCAACAGATCTCATTTGCCGTTTTTTTGAATTCATTAGAGTATTAAGACAATAGTAAAGCACAGAACGCGATGGCGGAATGTCAAAGTTAATATACAGTAATATCTCCACTGGTAATTCACACAGCTACCATAAAGAATAAACATCTTAAAGGAAACCTGTGAGGGTATAAATACACAGGCTAGTGGCTTGTTCTTTACCAGTTCAGGATCATAATCCTCCCCCCCCCCCCCCCCCATGGAAACAGGATTTTTTTTTTCTTTTCTTTTGGATATTCTGCAGATCTTCTTTAAAGGACAAATAAAGCTCGGTAGTAGCTTTTGTTGTAAACCCTTCCATATACCTAATGAAGTGACCAGGGGCGGACTGACAACTCATGGGGCCCCCGGGCAATAGGGGATGATGGGGCCCCTGTGTCCTTGCCCAAACTCAAAAAAGCCTATGAAAAAGTTACCAGGGGCATCTCATGGGGCCCCCTACTGACCCCGGGCCCTCGGGCAGTGCCCGAGTTTCCAAATGGTCAGTCCGCCCCTGGAAGTGACTTGCCTCAGGTAATACACAGAGATGAAACAAATCCTCCTACATAAGTTGTACCTGTTTATCTGCAGTGTTCTCTACTCTACATCCATTCAAAGTGCAGAATTTATACAACTTGTCTGAGCTTTCAGAAAGTAAGGGTCGGGGAGCTGAAGTTACACTTTGCAGAACTCATTAAGAGCTGATTGGAGGGAAGGGACATCCCCACTTCACAAAGTACTCAGGAACAGAGCTGAGGCTGTTAATCACAGGCTGTGTGTTAGAGCTCCCTCCCCTATCACTTTTTTACCTCTTGGTGTCAGGAAAACTTTCAGATAGCAGAGGAAGGAAGCAGCTGACAAAAATGACACTTAGTCCATCCATTCATGAAATGTGTCTTTAACATGCAGCACAAAACTGTCAGGTAGGGCAGGAGACCAGATTTTTCTGTGCTGCAGTTAGGTATCACTAACAAATCGTATCCCTCCCCCAGGCTGTAAAAGGAAAAGCAGCCAACTGATGAGCTTATCTCTCTGCTCTCCCCTCCTCTCAGCACGTCCTTTGTTAGCATATGTGCACTGCAGCCAGTTGGCTGTTGGAGTAAAGCTAAAAAGTAGGGAGGGGTAAAATCCTTGCCAGGTTATTTTTTGCTGATGGAGTCCCATTGGAGAGATTTCCCTCCTCTTCTTGTCCCATAGACACCACAGGAAGAACACGCCCTCATTCACAATGCTTTAAGATACAGAGATTAATAAGGGCCCGTCGCAATAGTCCTGTGTCCCATTGTTCCAGTTCACACCAATGTGCTGTACTGGCGTGCACTGAAAAAGAGTAAGATGGGTTGCTTCTTTGCACAGTGCGTTGTGTTGCACTATAACACATCACAATGGGCTGTCATACATGAAGTTAAATGAATGTCATGTTCAAATTAAAAAAAAAACAGAAAAACGAAAAGCAAGCACCGGCTTGTGTTTTATAATGCACCACAGCATGCATGCACAGCGCATGTTGTACACACCATAACACACTCCTGATGGACCACAGCGCACATGTTATACACACCTTAACACACTCCTGATGGACCACAGCACACGTTATACACACCATAACACACTCCTGATGGACCACAGCGCACATGTTATACACACCATAACACACTCCTGATGGACCACAGCACACATGTTTACTCCTGATGGACCACAGCACATATGTTATGCATACCATAACACACTCCTGATGGACCACAGCACACATGTTATACACACCATAACGCACTCCTGATGGACCACAGCACACGTGATACACACCATAACACACTCCCGATGGACCACAGCAAACATGTAATACACACCATAACACACTCCTGATGGACCACAGCACACATGTTATACATACCATAACGCACTCCTGATGGACCACAGCACACATGTTATACATACCATAACGCACTCCTGATGGACCACAGCACACATGTTATACACACCATAACACACTCCCGATGGACCACAGCAAACATGTAATACACACCATAACACACTCCTGATGGACCACAGCACACATGTTATACACACCATAACGCACTCCTGATGGACCACAGCACACATGTTATACACACCATAACGCACTCCTGATGGACCGCAGCACATATGTTATGCATACCATACACACACTCCTGATGGACCACAGCACACATGTTATACACACCATAACGCACTCCTGATGGACCACAGCACACATGTTATACACACCATAACACACTCCTGATGGACCACAGCACACATGTTATACACACCATAACACACTCCCGATGGACCACAGCAAACATGTAATACACACCATAACACACTCCTGATGGACCACAGCACACATGTTATACACACCATAACACACACCTGATGGACCGCAGCGCACATGTTATACACACCATAACGCACTCCTGAGGGACCACAGCAAACATGTTATACACACCATAACACACTCCTGATGGACCACAGCGCACATGTTATACACACCTTAACACACTTATGGACCACAGCGCACATGTTATTAACACACTCCTGATGGACCACAGCGCACATGTTATACACACCATAACACACTCCCGATGGACCACAGCGCACATGTTATACACACCATAACACACTCCTGATGGACCACAGCGCACATGTTATACACACCTTAACACACTCCCGATGGACCACAGCGCACATGTTATACACACCTTAACACACTCCTGATGGACCACAGCGCACATGTTATACACACCATAACACACTCCTGATGGACCACAGCGCACATGTTATACACACCTTAACACACTCCTGATGGACCACAGCGCACATGTTATACACACCATAACACACTCCTGATGGACCACAGCGCACATGTATATAACACCTTAACACACTCCTGATGGACCACAGCGCACATGTTATACACACCATAACACACTCCCGATGGACCACAGCGCACATGTTATACACACCATAACACACTCCGATGGACCACAGCGCACATGTTATGGACCACACACATGTTATACACACCTTACACTCCTGATGGACCACAGCGCACATGTTATACACACCATAACACACTCCTGATGGACCACAGCGCACATGTTATACACACCATAACACACTCCCGATGGACCACAGCCACATGTTATACACACCATAACACACTCCTGATGGACCACAGCGCACATGTTATACACACCATAACACACTCCCGATGGACCACAGCGCACATGTTATACACACCTTAACACACTCCCGATGGACCACAGCGCACATGTTATACACACCTTAACACACTCCCGATGGACCACAGCGCACATGTTATACACACCTTAACACACTCCCGATGGACCACAGCGCACATGTTATACACACCGCACATGTTATACAACACACTCCCGATGGACCACAGCGCACATGTTATACACACCTTAACACACTCCCGATGGACCACAGCGCACATGTTATACACACCTTAACACACTCCCGATGGACCACAGCGCACATGTTATACACACCATAACACACTCCCGATGGACCACAGCGCACACATATTATACACACCATAACACACTCCCGATGGACCACAGCGCACATATTATGTTATACTCCTGATGGACCACAGCGCACATGTTATACACACCATAAACACTCCTGATGGACCACAGCGCACATGTTATACACACCATAACACACTCCCGATGATGTGAATGAGTGCTTTTACTGCTTGTTCAGAATGCTGTGTGTGAATATGTCAGTGTGCATAGTCCGGGCACAGGATCACATTAAACATAGAGTACACTTATCTTAATCTTTATTTAAAAAGTTTTTGTTATTTACAAAAGAAATCATGTATTCACTATCTGCTAATGCTAAAGTAGAATTCCATCTTTGTGACAAACAGATATTTTAGGGAACAATATTGAAATAAGTATTTAAATAGTCTTCATTACCTTTCCTGTTCTGTTATGCCAGTGCAGGTTCTTGAAGTAAAGTTTGCATCTAATAGGGCAGCACAGTGGCTCAATGGTTAGCACTTCCGCCTGGCAGTACTAGGGTCATTGGTTCAAATCCCAACCATGGCACCACCTGCCTGGAGTTTGCATGTTCTCCCTGTGCCTACGTGGGTTTCCTTCGGGTACTCTGGTTTTCTCTAACAGCTCAAAGACATGCTGGTAGGTTAATTGGATCCTGTCTAAATTGGCCCTAGTATGTGTATGTATGACTGTAAGTTAGGGACCTTAGATTGTACACCCCTTGAGGGTTAGGGGCTGATGTGAATGTACAATATATATGTAAATCGCTGTGTAAATTGATGGCGCTATATAAATACCTGAAATAAATAAATATAATAAAAATAGCTCATTTTCACTGGTGAATAATAAAATACAGTAGGCACGGCTGTCAGGAATGATTCAGCATGAGTCCAGTTAAGTTGTTGGCTGCTCAGTGTATATAAAGGTGCCTCCTCCTACTGTTAGCTGGCACAACAGTTATTAATGGCAGGTCTGTTCATTGTCTTCTACCCATGCGTTTGTTATACAGGCACAGAAGCTGATGCGCCAGTATGCAGAGAAACGCCTACAGGAAGAGAGGGAGATGAGAGACTTGGTAGAACAAGTGTCCGAGGGGCGCAAAAATACCAAACAAGCACGCTTGAAACTCCAGAGATACAAGCAAAGAATAGGTATGATATATATACACTAAAGCTGACAAATAAATGGTGCTGGTTAAAGGCCAAGACCTTCCAAACCTGAAGTTTCAGTGATGAAGGATGGTAGCCTATTGTCGAACACATACACTTGTTATAGCTCTATTTATTCCCCTTGATGAACATTGTTTATAATGGCTGTATTGTGCAGGATGGTTTTCTCCAGTGGAGAGAGGTTGCCTCCTGGAATGCTGAATTGATGTAAACAACCAGTATTTTAACCTGTGAACATTCATCTAATACAGGGGTACTCAACCTTTGAAGAGAGAGAGCCACTTGAATGATTTGGTAATGGATCAGGGGCCAAAACGAAATTAAATGGTTCAGGATTTTTAATTCTTTATTTTGAATAGCATAATGAACATTTTCTCCCTGCAGCCACTGAATGCCAGTGGGAGGGAGAGGAGGAGAAGTTGGCTTTCAATGGTCGCAGGAGGAAAATGAAGAGGATCGGTTCCTGTATATGCCTCCCCCATCGCCCCCCTGTCCAAGTGTAAAACAGATTGTGACAGAGAGGCCGCAAGGGCCCCCTGGAGCCTTGCTACCCCTGACACTGCACTAGTGGTCACCATTGCGATCCCTGACGTTGCACCAGTGGTTGGGTGGTGTGGTAATAACACTTCTCAACTATGGGGGTTTTACTGCCTCACCCCCCACCTCCAAACCGCAATTGTAAACAATCCCTTACTGTCCTGACCCCCCATAAGACTGCACACACTGATGTGCTGCAGTTTACACACACCATTGGTTCAGTGCACCTGCACCTTTCCTGTCGGTTAACTGTGCTTTGCCATTGACTTCTATTGTATCTTGCGGCTGTGATGAACTTTCTGAAAGTGCACCCAAATGCCTGCATTCAGGAGGTTTGGTGTGCTTTCAGAAAGCACACCAAACCCACAGGAAATAATAGAAGTGTGCTTCCCTAGTTTGAGGCTGAGGGCCATATCATATCTAATATTTATATCAGTTAAACTTCCCCACAGTGGGACTCATTTATATAAACTAGACTTTATAAGTTGGCGTTCATTTATGTAATTTCAAAGCTAGCCTGATGAATACAATACTACTCTTTGCCTACATACCATTTCCCACTAGTTCTGATGTAGATCATTATCATTTTCAAACTGATGTAAATTGGGGCCCTTGGGATCAGGAGTCTGAGCTGTTCTGTCAGCACATTTACCTAGCCTAGCCATCTATGTCTCGAGTACAAGAGGATTCTAAGGCATTCCCAGGTCAGTTGGGGATGTTACACGTTACAAAACATATTCAGGGTGTAACATGTTACAAAAGGACTGGCCCGCGCTCCCCCCACCCCCTGATCCCCCATTGGGACAGCTAGTGGGAGATCTTCTTCCCCTGCTAGCTGTCACAATTTGTTAAAAAAAAAAAGTGACTGTGTGGTGCTCCGCCTGCCCGGCCGCATCACTCTTTCACAGTATTCTGAGATTGGGAAAACTACAAGTTCCGACAGCCTTTGCGGCTGTTGACTTGTAGTTCTCAATAACCACCACGGTGCTGTTGAGCACTGTGGTAGTTCATTGATTCTTCCTGCAAGAATGTATCTGCTCACTCGTAGAGGTATGAGCACACAGATACAGTGACAGGTCTGCAGGAGTCCTGCATGGCACCAGCGATTTGCTGATCGCTGGTACAATGCTTTCAAGGCTCCCAAAACAAAAAAGAGTAAATGCACAATTTTTACCTGCAAAATGTGCATTTATTATTTTTTGTTTAAAGGTGAACTTATCCTTAAGGAAAGTGAGTGGCCCAGTGGATAAATTATTCATTTGTCCCATTGTGGTCAGATGTGGGTTCAGAAACAATGGTTTATAGTACAGATGCAACCTACTGTAAATGTAGAGCTATTTATCATCCATCGGGGCAAGATAAGGGAACCATAGTGTTGCTAGTGTAAGGAAGAAAAGTAGTTACACTTACAAACCATTCATACCTTATTTTCAGTGCAAGAGGTGACAGAGGAGAGCCGGGAGCTATTACGACAAGCTCTGGAGGAGGCTGAAGAGGAACTGAAGAAAAAATTTGAGTTGATCCGTGAGATTCGAGCCATGGAGTCAGTGCCGATCATCAGACACAAGTTTGTGGATTTAACAGAGGTGAGTGATGAAGAAAACTATTAAATGTATGCAACATCGTGACATCAAACAATTTTCTCTGTGACCTCAAATACTGTGATAGTCTGTTTTTCGTAAACTGTCAACTTAGTATGGCATGTTGTAAATGGTGTTATGTTCTACAACTTCATAACTTTTCTAGAGATGCCCCCATCCTTTCAATCACTTTTTCCTAATCTATCAGACTTGACCTGGTTTTTCATACATGTAAACGGTCCCCCAAAACCCACTTGTAGAAGAATTCATTACCCTTCTTTCTCTTTACTTCAACCGTTTATCTCTGAATAACGGTCTTCACAGCACCTCCAGACATTGTCATCAGCCTTATCGATTGCATTTAGTACCCTCCACCTCTTGTATGGCAAGTCCTTTCGGAAAGGAAACTTTTTCTCTATGGTTCATATTTTGCATCTTGTCTGGAAGTTTGTAATTCGGACATTCTATCATCTGATGTGTGTATGTTAATGGTTCATGAATACAGCATAACAACAATATAACACTAGCAAGAACCATTTTGCCCATTTGTTGTGTTGCTAAAGGATTCATGATAGAAATCTTCCATCCCTTTTAGACTGCAGGATATCGGCTGAACTGTGAGATGTCCATAGCAGAGCTCCATGAACGTCTGTCCCTGCTGAAGGAGGCTCAGAGGAAAGCAGAGGAGGAGAAGAGGGATCAGATCCTGGAGGAGAAGCAGACCAAACAGCAGCTCCTTCTGGACACCTTGGAGCAGATCTCACTGCACAGGGCAGCTATGGGGAAAGCAGCTCTTCTCAGGTTAGTGCAATGCCTTGACCTTTCTCAAATGGATATAATATTGATTATGCAAAATGGGTCTGATTCATATACCCAGGGCTTGAACAACTGAGGCACTAGGTCTTTTAATATCTACCCTCTAGGGTTTAAATCTTCAATTTTCTTGCAAACCAATCTTTCACGACATTCAGTGCAATCAAGCCAAACCATGCTTGGCAGGTATTTTCTGAAGAGGTTTACACCTTCACTTCACAACTTTGTAACTTAGATAACTGGAATAGCTGGATAAAGGCTTGGGCTTCTTACGTGATCTGTGTAAAGGAGCCAAGCGCATTGTAAACTGAAATTCCCCTTTTGTTTTCAAGTCTGCACTGGAAAAAGAAACAAAACTAAAGCAGGAAAAGATTCCTGTGTTGGAGAAAGGTGGAAACCTTAAAGAATTCCAGATATGGATATTTTTTTTACATACTGTAGTTACTTTAGACCCGCTTGGACCAATGGAACTATGTATTCACCACACCTGGCCAATATGCCCCTGGAACCTGGAAATTGCTGAAGAAGACACCTCTGCTCCAATGATCTCCACTTGCTTTTGGGTCCCATGCTGAGTGGCTGCCCTACTGCATTCAGAACACATGAGGTTTAGCTGCTCTGCACCAGCTCCATTCAGGGAATGCTTTGTATCTTTTGAATGAATGCAAAGTGTTCTTAGATTGGACAAGGTGGAGAGCTCTTACAATAGGCTTAACTTTTTTGCACAGGTCAAAGCACAGGTTTGCATTAAAAGCTATTTAGCATTCTTCAAAGTAAACCTTTACCCAGATCATGCACACTAAATATTTTGAACAAACAGTATCTCTGTATCTATTAGCATTGAAGGGAAATTCAAAATTCATGTTCAAACTTCACAAGACAGGCATTGAAATCTTAGCTTTTTTTTCAAAGATCAGATCTTGGTATCCTGCCAGCCCTCTATTGTAAAAAACCAGCAGGTGTTTCTAAGCCAGTGGTGGTCAACCTTCTTGAAGGAATTAAAAAAATAACATATTAAAAAAAGAGAATGTACATTTATTATTTATTATTTGCATTTGCGCCTGCAGAACATTGCAACTGAGATCAGTGGAATGTGGGTGCAATATATAGGATCCTGCAAACTATTCCTAAGACTGCAGTGATGTCACACAAGTCTCCCTGCTGGGGTGGTAGATTGGACTTGTAGTCTCTCTATTCACTCTCTATTCACAGGTAACCGTGAATGGATAATGGGGCTGTGTGAAGATGAACTCTGTGGTTCAGGTAAGCAGGTGCCCAGGTAAGGCCCCTGTCATCCCCAAAGGGCCACACAATATTCAGTGAATGTAATGCTACAAGAAGCTGTCAGGGAAGGCAGACATACAAAAGGAAATGGTCAGAGACAGCAAATATGCTATAGAAATATTTGTACACTGTGGACATGTTTAAGGAGACATAGATGGGAGACACCCTTATATGAGGCTGCAAGAATTCACTGCCAATACAGTACCTTTACAATTTACCGCTTACATATTTGTGCCCCACTACAGCCCCCTTACATGTTACTAGTGCCATAGTTAACATTTCTCTCAGCAAAAACCATTTAAAATCCATTTAAATCAGTGGAATAATAAAACCTAAAAAGAACAAAGGGATGCGCAGTGCAGGAAAAAAAGTAAGATGGTGTGAATGAAATAAACCAAACCATTTAACTACTAAAAGTCATTTACTGACATGATCCTAGGTAAGAAAAACACAGACTTCTGCAAGCAGGGGCCAAAGGGCCACATGCAGCCCCTGGGCTACAGGTTGGGAACCAGGGTTCTACGTTGTTAGAAACAGACTGAATCCCACAATTAGTGTCTTTGCTGTGTGGATCTTTGAGAAAGAATAACTTCACATGAAAAGCAGCTAGGGAGGTCAGTGATGGCTTGGTGTAAGAATACTGTACTAGCTGAGAGCTTTGACAGCTTCAAAAAACTTTTAGACATCTTCCTCAGGAAGTAGAATATACTGGGGGATGAGAATTGTTAGAGAATAAAAATCACACACATACATACACATTTGTTGAACTCGATGGACTTTTTTCAACCTTATAAACGAAATCACTAAAAATAGGTTCACTTCCATAGTCTGGGCACAGGTGCACACGTTAATCTACAAATAAATACAATTCTAGAAAGGTATAGTCTGTCCTAGAAAATATATCCTGCTACATAATTTTTAGGACACGCATTGCAGTGTAACTGGCAGAAAATGTGGACAGAAATGAAAAGTGTGAATTAGATGTTGACAAGAAATGATCTCAGTAATGTATTATGGAGAGACACCTGCAGAGGAGGCCTGGGCGTCTAGATAAGACTTTGCTCCGTGTCAGTTCGCGGTGGGTTAAAATATAGGAGGGCATTCAATAAAGCATTTGAAAACACTTTTCTGACAGTATGGTCCCTATTAACAGTCCTAAGCCTAATTCATCAAAGCCTTGTAACAGTTTCAGAAAGAGTTCTGACACATGCAATGGATTCAAGTAGCTCTTATGTGCTCCACCTTCATAATGTGTCGATTTGATTGTGACAAATTCAAACTTAATTACCGTTAGTTCATAGATAAAAAACTGGAGAAAATTAGGACCAACTAAAAATGAGCGTACAGAGACAGGCCGGAGTTACCAGAGTGGGGTTTGATGTGTATTAACTATATTATTGTGTTGTGTTTTAAATTTATTGGTTCCTAGGACATAGTCTGTCACCATCATAGCAACCAATAACATGGGGCTGAACATGGACAGTGGGAGGAGCCTGACTGGGATACTGAGAGACTAGTCCCCCATCAAATCTGCCAGTCCTTGTGATTGATAGTGGACGGCACTGGATGGATTCCAGCAATACTATTAAGCTGTCTAGTACCCATGACAGGTGCAGTAGCTGAGCGGGGAGCACTGAGGACTGTCTGGTATGGACCCTCCGGCCCCCCCATTGGGCTTCCTGAGGCAAATTCTTGTACCCGTTTCCAACATTTGCCATGTGACAGAATTCCAGAGTGTCTATTCAGAATTCCAGGGAAATAGTCCAGTTTAGATACAGGCTTTTCTTCCATTAATAATGTTACTGGTGATGTTAGGGGTATCAGAGTAAAGGGGGCTGAATACAAATGCACGCCACACTTTTCAGATATTTATTTGTAAAAAACTTTGAAAACCTTTTATCATTTTCCTCCACTTCACAATTATGTGCCACTTTGTGTCACATAAAATCCAAATAAAATACATTTGCATTTTTGGTTGTGACATGAAAAAATGTGGAAAATTTCATGGGGTATGAAAACTTTTTCAAGACACTGTAATATTGAATGCGCCACCATTTGTTTAGGTAAATATATTTCTAAAGGTGCTATTGACATGAAATTGTCACTACGTGTCGGTAGCAATCCATGCATACAATGAAACCAAAACAAATAAGTTCAGAAATTCAGGTATGTGTAATAAAATGGAATAACACAGGGAAAAAGTATTGAACACATGAAGAAAGGGAGGTGCAAAAAATGCATGGAAATCCAAGACACCAGCTGAAATCTAACAGTAATTAGAAGCCAATCTTGCCCCTTGTCAGTGCAGAGTAATATCAGTTGGTTCAGTCTCAACTGATGACCTATAAAAAGGTGTCTCATTACCAAGGTGTCACACAAAAAACTACTCATGATGAGTAATAGGAAAGAGCTCTCTCAAGACCTTTGCACCCTTATTGTTGCAAAACATACTGATGGCATTGGTTACAGAAGGATTTCTAAACTTCTGAATGTTCTATGAGCACTGTTGGGGCTATAATCCGGAAGTGGAAAGAACATAATTTCTCCATAAACCAGCCACGACCAGGTGCTACTCGCAAGATTTCTTACAGAAGAGTGAAAATAATTATCAGAAGAGTTGTCCAAGAGCCAGTGACCACTTCTGGAGAGCTTCAGAAAGACCTGGAATTAGCAGGTACAATTGTTTCAAAGACAACAATAAGTACTGCACTCAACCGCTATGGCCTGTGTGCACGTTCACCACGCAATGCTCCATTGCTGAAGAAAGAGCATGTTAAAGCTTGTTTAAAGTTTTCTGCACAACATTTAGGCAAGGCTGTGAAATACTGGGAAAATATAATCTGATAAGATAAAGCCAAAATTGAACTCTGTGGATGCCATAATACAAACCATGTTTGGGGGTCAAATGGCACTGCACATTACCCCAAAAAAAACCATACCAACAGTGAAGTTTGGAGGTGGGAACAACATGGTGTGGGGCTGTTTTTCAGCATACGGTACTGGCAAACTTCATGTCATTGAAGAAAGGATGGATAGAAAAATGTACCAAGACATTCTTTAATAAAAATCTGCTGCCATCTACCAGGATGATGAAGATGAAACGAGGGTGGACATTTCAGCAAGACAATGATCCCAAACACAAAGCCAAGGAAACTCTCAGTTGGTTGTAAAGAATGGCCCAGCCAATCACCTGACTTGAATCCAATAGGAAATCTATAAAAACAACTACAGATCAGAGTTCATAGAAGAGGCCCACAAAACCTTCAAGATTTAAAGACTGTGTGGAAGTATGGGCCAAAATCACACCTGAGCAATGCATGTGACTAGTTTCTCCATATAGGAGGCATCTTGAAGCTGTCATTACTAACAAAGAATTCTGCACGAAGTATTCAATAAATTTCAGTTAGCATGTTCAATACCTTTTCCCTGTGTCATTCCATTTTATTACACGTAACTTAATTTATGAACTCATTTGTTTTGGTTTCTTTGTATGTATGGGTTGCATGGGTTGTTACCGACGTGGTGAAAATTTAATGTCAATAGAACCTTTTGAAATATATTTACCGAGAAAAATGGTGACGTGTTCAATACTTATTTTACCTGCTGTGTATGTATGTGTGTGTGTGTATGTATGTATATATATATATATATATATATATATATATATATATATATATCTCAATGAACACAAGAAAAATAGAAAAATGACCAAACTTTTGACAAAACTGAGTTTTATAGAACATTTGTTTAGCTTATTACATGAAAGTAAAGTTAATAATGTAATTTGGATTACAA